TGGCGGAGCCTGGGCCAGGGACACCACAGCCCTAATAATGGGACTGGAGCCAGGATAGTCTGGCTGGCCAGGACTGCAGCAGCCCGGCAGTGGGGCAGAGAGTGGTGGTGGCTGGGTCTGGCAGTGGGGAGAGAAGGTGGTCTGGGGAACCGGTAGCAGGGGATCTCCTCTGGTCCAGAAGATTCCCTCATTCAGGACTGGTCAGATCCTGAGGGTGCTGGACCAGAGAGGTCCAACCTGTAGTTGAACAGTAGCATTTCCACTGTATGTCAAAAAATTTTCACATTTATCTAAAGCTTAGCTCCCAAGAGCAGGCTGATAATTCACTTTTTTTTCTTACTAGCTTTTAAAATAATCTGTTCCATTTAATGAATGCCTCAAATAATGAAGCTGATATATAGAAACCTACTGGTTTAAGAGGCATTTATACAATTAAAATATGCCTGCAATTTATAAAATCGGATTTTCGATGTGTTGAGTAATTCATCAGATCATTATATTTTGGAATAAAGATCTGATAGTGAGGTGAACAGCTCTCAAGTAGCAACTTTTAAAATATCAATTTCATAAAGATTGCCAGCACGCTAACTGCTAGCATGTCTGTTTTCTTGATGAGCCATATTTTATCTTTAGTCTTTGTGAATAAATATAATTGTAGTTAAAGAGAAATAGGTATTGCAGTGAGGTTGTAACAATCATGACCTCATGTATGCTCGTCATAGCCAATAATAGGAATTAGCGTGTGCATTTAGGAGAAATCTTATTTCCCTTAAATTGTCAATGGGTTTTGGAGTCCAGTGGGCAACAATAGGAAGAATAAGAGCCTTCTCAAGAGGTGTGTATCATGGACAGTACTCCTGAGAGCTACTTCACACAGGGAGGTTTTGGAGGTGGGGTGCAGGTAGGTAATATTCCTCACCTATTCACTAAAAAAGGACCAGGTAGATGCTCTTACTGCAAGGTAACACAGCTCCCTCTAGTTGTTGAGAAATTGTCATCTTAGTAATGCTGCCACTCCAGCTGTGTGGGTTAATAGAAGGAAAATTTGCAAGTAGGTTAAAGTTTGGGTCTATTAATTAGAGCAGTGTCCCTTTAAAATCTTCAGTCATAAGTATGTTCAAAACACAATGTGTGATGAATTTGAGGAGAAAATAGTAAACTCAGAATTCCCATTTCAGATTTCATACCTTTTGAGCAGAGTAGAGCAGTCAATAATGCAACAAGAAGCAAAACTGAAGATTGCCTACAAAGAGAGCAACCAACAGCTCCACCTTCTGGATGTTAAGTGAGTATTCACCATATTGAAAAATCATGCCACTTACAAATCAAGAGTCTACTCTTGCAAACTGTGAGTAATCATTAGGGCAGTGGTATCCAACCTTTTTACATTCAAGATCACTTTTTAAATGTTAGGATAAGCCAAGATCTACTTCATCCCTTTCCCAAAACCCCACCCCTTCCTTGAGGCCCCGCCTTCTCTCTTCCCCTCCTCTCCATCACTTGCTATCTCTCCATCACTTGCTTACTCACTCTCACTGGACAGTAGGTGCAGGCTCTGGGGTGGGAATGAGGGATTGGGTGTGGGAAGGGATGAGAGGTGCAAAGGAATTTGGATGGAGGAGGAGGTAAAGAAAGGGATGCTGGCTTGGGGAGGGAGCTCTAGGCTGGGGAGTGTGGGGTTGTGGGGTCAGATGGAGGGTTAGGGTGCTGAGCAAGCCACAGGCTTGTGTATGTGAGGTTGCAGGAGTTTGGGTTGGGTATGTGAGGGGCTCAGGGCAGGAAGTATGATGGGTTCAGGACACAGATCTGTGGTGTGTGGATGGTGCAGGAGTGTTGTGGCAGAAGACTGAGGATGTGGGGGTGCAGTAGTTCGGGGATGTGAGAGGCTCAGTACAGGGGGTTCCAGTGTATGATAGACTCAGTTTTGGTGTTGAGGGGGGTGCAGGAATGTTATGATGCTGTGGCCAGATGGGGGCTTGGTCCCAATTGCGGGCTTGTTGGCCAGGCTTCATTTTTAAGTAAAATATTATGTCAAGCACAAAAGGTTTCAGCATTGTCTTTTTTTCTGAGAGGGGCAGGGAATCTGTTTTGAGTCAGGGGTCACTAACCCACAGAAAAGTCAGTCGGGGCCACACAAATGAGATGCAAAAAAACAACTCCTCCAAAACCCCCCAAGCCTCACTAATGTGGCCCCAAATGTATTGGTGGGAACAGGGGACAGGGTTCTGGGCCAGGGAACAGGGTTCTGGGGCAGGGTGCTGGTGGGTGCTGGGGCAGGTGGCAGGGTGCTGGCTCAGGGAACAAGATGCTGGTGTGGGCAGGGGACAGGGTGCTAGTGGGTGCTGGGTCAGGTGCTGAGGTGCTGGGGCAAGGGACAGGGTGCTGATGGGTGCTGGAGCAGATGGCAGGGTGCTGGGGCAGAGGACTGGGTGCTGGGGCAGTGGTCAGGGTGCTGGTTAGGGCTGAGATAGGGTACTCGTGGGGGGGTCTGGATAGGGGGAGGGGACAGGGACAGCTGGGGCCAGTACCTGGGGATCCTGCAGCTGCACACCAGGCCCAGATCTCAGGAAGCATGTGCGCTGCTTCCCCCTCCCCAAACAGCTGGCGCATGTCCTGAACAGCCTGGTCTGTCATGCGCTGACGACTTTCTTCCCCTGCACAGGGTGGAGGGAGGCGGAGGGGGGAGAAGTAAGAGTCCCAGGACTGCGCCAGCTCCAACTGCTCAGTAAGTGTGCGTGCCCTGCTCCTCTGCTCCCCACAGCAGTTGCGCACTTCCTGAGTAGTTGGAGCTGGCGCAGTCCCAGGATTCCTACTCTCCCCCCACACAGGAAGGCAGTAGGGGAAGGAAGTTGCTGGCACGTGACAGACCTGGCATTTCAGGAAACGCGCCAGATGTTTGGGAGAGAGGAGAGCAGCCCATGCACTTCCTGAATCCCCGAACATGGCATGCAGCTGTGGGACTGCTCTCCCTCCCCCCGCAGGAAGCTGGTGCTACCTCAATTGTTGCTGGAGGTAAGATCAACAGGGGCTTTTTCTTGGGGGTGGGGGAAATGTGGGGGTTCCCGAACACCTCGCAATCGATCAGGCAATCGTGATTGACGGGTTGGTGACCATGGCATTAGGGGTATGTCTATATAGCAGGGCTAAACTCGAAATAAACTACACAGCTTGAGCTACGCTAACTGTGTAGTTTAAGTCAAAATAGTTTATTTTGAATTTGGGAATATCTACACAGCGTTTATTTTGAAATAGAGCACTCTTCCTCCGACTTCCCTTACTCCTCAAATAATGAGGGTTACAGGAGTTGAAGTAAGCAGTCCTTCAGCTTGACATTATTTTGACAATATGTTGAAATAACTGCTTGTGTGTAGATATGGATAATAACGCTACTGTATAGACCAGTGTTTCTCAACTGTGCTCCGCAGAGCCCCATGGGCTCCGCGAGACATCTCCAGGTACAACACATACAATCAGTGGACTGCTGGGGCTCTGCATAAATTTTTACGCTTGTAAAGGGCTCCGGAGCCCAGAAAGTTTGAGAACCGCTGATATAGATGTACCCTATGAGACTGAGGATCTTTGAATGAGTGAGGAATTGAAGGACTGGGACCCAAATGAAGGTACATTAATTTGTACATATACTCACAGCTGTAATAGTACTCAGTAAGGGCTAGATATAAAAAGATAATTAGGTACCTAAAAATGCAGACAGGTACCTAGTGGATTTTATAGATGCAGCTAAGTTAGTTCAGCATTTCATTCTTATTGGCTTGCAGTGGAAGTTTGGCTCCTAATTTGTTTAGGTGCATTTGTAAATGCCACTATGCACCTTTCTGCATTTGTAGGTACCTAAATACTTCTGTAAATCTGGTCACAAACCACTTGGAAATAAATTTATAAAACATTGTGTGCCAGATGTAAGTATTAAGACCTGGAAAAGAACATATACATGTACAGACAGACATGAAATTCAACAGGTGTAACATTTTCAATCTCACTTCAAATATACATGTGCATACATAGGGTGTGTCTAGACTACATGGCTCTGTCGACGGAGCCATGGAAAGTAGTTTACTTGACATAGTCAATGAAGCGGGGATTTAAATAATTCGCACTTCATTGAAATAAAAATGGCTGCCATGCTGTGCCGACAATCAGCTGATCTGGTACAGCGCGGCAGTCTAGACGTGGCACGGTCGACAAGGGAAACCTTTGTCAACTGCTCCTGTAAGCTTCGTCTAGACACACCCACAATTACTACAACTATCTCAGCACCATGCCAAAATGAGGGAGGTAAATGCATACATTTAAATGTTCTAGTATTTGAAATTCTATGCATGTCCATCCAAACACTAAAACCCTTACTTGTCCTTTCTAGTCCCAACTCTTCTGGGCTTCAAAGACTGTAAAGTGAATAGGATGTCACATTTATTTCTAGCATATGGCAAACTACTTTTTGAAGGATTTGCATTGTACATGCCTCAGAATGCGGCAACCATATTTTGTGCAGCTAGTTGCTGTTGTATCACATCCTCTCATCTTTGATTATTTGAAACAATTAACATAAAGCAAGTCTAGCAGCCTGAAATTTCAAAACATTGCATGAATATGCTGTCAAAAATACTAAAGAGGAAAAAGAGGATTTTTATGATGATTGTCATAAAAATGCCACAGCCAAGTGATCAAAGAACCTGAAATGCTCTTGTATATTTCCAAACATGATCATTTATTTTATTCTCTTAGATTAAAAGGTGCAGTAGAGGAACTCAGCAGCCAGATATTGTCTGCGCGCAGCTGGTTGGAACAGGAACAGGAACGAATTGAAAAAGAGCTTCTACAGAAAATTGATCAGATGTCTTTGGCTCTTAAGGAAAACACTGTAGGTTTCTGTAATAAAAGAAAATACTTCTACAGATGTGTAGTTCCCTGTATATTTATATCCGCATTTTCATCTGAAGCCACAAAAATGAGCTTCGGATCTCCTCATTGACATCTGTGCATGCAGATACCCATAGATAAAAAGTGAAAATCCACAAATTTTCAGGGTTCTAGATAGAAATTTTTTATCCACATCCATATCCGGAGATGTAGATACTGCAGATATAAAGCAGATAGCTGAGAATTTGCAGGACTCTAGAGATGTATACAAACAAATATTGCCGAGTTGGCATTTTCATAGGATTTTTCAGAAATGCTCAATATTGGCATAAGTATGCTCCATTTAATGCAACAATAAAATTTCCATCTACTGGGAGCTTTTGAAAACCCATCCTATAGGAATAGATAAAACTGAACATTACTTTTAAAATTAGAAATATTTTATCCTAAACAAAATGAAGCAGAAGCATCTAATTTGAGACTTTTTATTAACTATATTTCATTACTGATTAAACATTTAAATCTTGTATAGGAAATAAGTAAGCATTGATACTTGTTACATATCTAGGGAATGAACAATGGAATTTATTGCCCACAGAATAACTGAATGTAATTATTTTCACTGATTCCAGGAAATGAGTGAAAGGGCCATAGAGATAAGATTCAGCCAGATGTCAGAGAAACTTGATAAAATAGAAGAAATACAGAAAATAACAATGGAAGAACATGGAACAAAACAGGCTGAAGAGAAGATAAATGTTCGAATCAGCAAGCTTCATATGGAAATTAATGAAGATATAAAAGAAATGAAAGCAGAAGTTAATGCTGGTAGGACTACTGCTGTTGAGCTCTATACTCTGAATTCTGCTACTGTAATTTAACTTTGATAAACGTATTTTCTTTATTTTCATTAATATATCATCTGAGAGTCTGAAAGCTCTTTCCAACAATGGGACATATTTTTCAACTGGGTGCATAGTGGATACACTCACAAAATCATGTACCCACCTATTGTATCCACAGAGGGCGTTATTCCTACAAAGCAGTGAGTGAAACACAATTAGCTTTAGATTTTTTCTTATTGTTTTCCTTGTCTGTAGAAAACAGAATTCAATACTGCTAAAGGAGTAGCCAAGCAAGAGGGTGTGGACTTGTGCTTGCCAACAGTGTCTGGCTGCCATAATGTGCATATAGGCACAGCTCCATTGACTTCAATGGAGTTTCACACATCTATACCTGCAAAGAATTTGGCACAGTGCCTGTCTTTGTTAGGAACATTTGCCTTACTGATCATGAAAATGCACTATTATATGTTGTAATCTTGATTTTTGCTTTTAAACTAGCTAGACATATAAAGGGTAACAAGAAGACATTCTATAAATATATTAGAAGCAAGAGGAAGTCCAAGGACAGGGTTGGCCCATTGCTCAGTGGAGAGGGAGAAACAATAACAGCAAACTTGGAAATGGCAGAGGTGCTTAATGACTTCTTTGTTTCTGTCTTCACCAAGAAGTCTGATGATGAAGGAATGCCTAACATAGTGAACATTCGTGGAAATGGGGGAGGTTTAGAAGATAAAATGAAAAAAGAACAAGTTAAAAATTACTCTTGAAAGTTAGATGTCTGCAAGTCACCAGGGCCTGATGAAATGCATCCAAGAATACTTAAGGAGCTGATAAAGGAGCTATACAAGCCTTTAGCTATCATCTTTGAAAAATCATGGACGACAGGAGAGATTACAGAAGACTGGAAAAGGGCAAATATAGTGCCCAAAAAAGTGAAATAAGAACAGCCCAGTCAGCCTGTGCCAGGAATGATAATGGAGCAAGTAATTAAGGAATTCATCTGCAAATATCTGAAAGAAAATAAGGTGATAGGGAACAGCTAGCATGGATTTGTAAAGAACAAATCATGTCAACTCAATCTGATAGCTTTCTTTGATAGAATAACAAGTCTTGTGGATAAGGGAGAAGTGGTGGACATGGTATATCTAGACTTTAGTAAGGCATTTGATATGGTCTTGCATGATCTTATCAATAAACTAGGGAAATACAACTTTGATGGGGCTACTGTAAGATGGGTACATAAGAAACTGTTCTCTCTACACTACAGGGTTTTTGCACAAAAACAACCATTTTTGCGCAAAAACCCATGGAGTGTCCATACCTCAAGCACATTTTTTTGCACAAGAAAATTTACAGTGAACTGGCAGAACAGAGGGATTTTTGCGGTGTAGGTATAGCTCTTTCTATGAGGAATAATTCCTTTTTGTGCAAGAGGTCTTGTACAAAAAGGTGTGTCTGGACGCTCAACAGGGGTTTCTTGTGCAAAGTCATTTTTGCGCAAAAACCCATGGAGTGTCCATACCTCAAGCACATTTTTTTGCACAAGAAAATTTACAGTGAACTGGCAGAACAGAGGGATTTTTGCGGTGTAGGTATAGCTCTTTCTATGAGGAATAATTCCTTTTTGTGCAAGAGGTCTTGTACAAAAAGGTGTGTCTGGACGCTCAACAGGGGTTTCTTGTGCAAAGTGGCTGTGAATGGCCATCAGAACTTTCTTGCACAAGAGTGTCTGTGCAGTGTGGATGCACTTTTGCGCAAGAAGTTTTCTTGCACAAAAACCCTGCAGTATAGACAAAGCCAGAGAGTAGTTATTAATGGTTCACAATCATGCTGGAAAGGCATAACATGTGCGGTTCCGCAAGGGTCTGTTTTGGGACCGGCTCTGTTCAATATCTTCATCAATGATTTAGATGATGCTATAGAGAGTACGCTTATTAAATTTGCAGATGATACCAAGCTGGGAGGGGTTGCAACTGCACTGGAAGATAGGGTCATAATTCAAAACGGACTGGACAAACTGGAGAAATGGGCTGAGGTAAATAGGATGAAGTTTAACAAGAACAAATGCAAAGTACTCCACTTAGGAAGGAACAATCAGTTTCACACGTACAGAATGGGAAGTGACTGTCTAGGAAGGAGTACTGCAGAAAGGGATCTAGGGGTCATTGTGGACCACTAGCTAAATATGAGTCAACAGTGTGATGTAGTCGTGAAAAAAGCAAACATGATTCTGGGATGCATTAACAGGAGTGTTGTGAGCAAGAAATGAGAAGTCATTCCTCCTCTCTACTCTGTGCTAATTAGGCCTCAATTGGAGTCCAGTTCTGGGCATCACGTTTCAAGAAAGAGGTGGAGAAATTGGAGAAAGTCTTTAGGTTTAATAATAAAACTAATTACATTTCTATCTGCAATTAGGGTTCGCGGCTATCTACGAGAGCATTGGGTCTCTACGGGAAGTTCTAGAAGCTAAAATGAAACTTGACAAGGATGAGCTACAGAAGCAGATTCAGCAAATGAAGCAGGAAGTTTCAACATAGGGAGAGTCAAGACCATGACTGATCACAAGATTTATTCAGAGAGAAGAGTGTTTGTGTCTAAGTAGGCTATAAATTCAGCCCAATTTGTAATAAGTGCATGTACCAAATAACATGCTTCTGTTTTTCAGGTGTGTATGTTTACTGTAAGTGGTAAATGCAAGTTTTAAAAGCTAAGTTGATACATAGTTTTTATGGGGGCAAAGCCCTAGTTCACTATTCTTTTACTCCAGTTTATTTCAGTGGAGTTACAGCTGTTTAAAAGCGGAGTAACACTTCAGTGAATGTGATGTCAAATTATGTTAAAGGAGCCTCAGAGTGCTACCTCCACTCTTGTTGGCTTTGAAATATTAGTACTTGTACCCATAGATAAAATTCTGTTTTTGTTACAGAAGTCATGGAAGTCGCATATTCTGTGACTTTTTTTTGACGTCCATAACTTTTAAGGTGGCTGGTGTGCTCAGGCAATCCCCAGGTCAGGTGCATTGGTTGTTGCTGGAGTGGCCTCGGGCAGCAGTAAGAATTTGGCTGGCGGGTGAGTGAGAATCAGGGTTGCAGTGCAGGACAGTGCTTACCCAGGGAACTCAGCTCCTACCTCTATGGGTTCTGCCTGCAGGCACCTTCTCCACAGCTCCCATTGGCTGCATTTCCTAGCCAATGGGGGCTGTGGGATGCCTTAGGGTCACTTCCAAGTTTTAGTCAGGGGTGCATAGTAGAAGTCACAGACAATCATGGACTACAAATTTTGTTTACTGCCTGTGACCTGTCCATAACTTTTACTAAAAATACCCATGACTAAAGCTTAATGTTACCCATAGTTAATTGCTTTGTTTAAAAGTCAAGCCTTAACAGGTTAATATCAGTTGGCAATTCACCACCTTGTAAGATCTTGTTCCCATTGAAGTCACTGGAAATGTTCCCATTGATTTCAGTTAGTGCAGAACTGGCATCTGAGGGTATGTCTACCCAGCAGCGCTATTTTGGGTTAATGTCCATTATCCCAAAATAGCATTCTTTGTGTCTTACAGCATTCCTGTTATTAAAAAATAACGGGCATCTTATTCTGGCTTCCTATAAACCTCATTGCATGAGGAATAAGGAAAATGCCAGGATAGTGCTCTATTTTGAAATGCCAAATTTCAAACTACACATGACAGTGGAGATGTACCCTAACAGACCAGTTTTTTAAATTCAAATACCTTCAGAGAATGACACCTTTGCTTCATTTAGAAAAGTATTATGTGCGCGCATGTGTGTGTGTGTGTGTTTACTATATAGTATTATATTTTGTAGTTACAGGCTAACAATAATGCATTTGAGCAACACAAGCAACTTAACATGTTGTTCAAAGTTCCTGAGTATTGTGACTTCTAATTAATATCCAGGTAGAGCTGAGACGGAGTGAAGGATAATATATACAGTATTTTATTATAAGTTTTACTATGAATTGTGTTCTTGTGCATTGTTTCATTATGTCAGTGTAAACTTTGAGGGTTTTGGTGTCAGTGGGGAAAGTGATCATTCAAGTAATTCTGGAGAACATGATGTAAAAATAAGATGCATTAAAATGCATCTTAAAATGTTTTCTGATCCACTAGGAATTTTTATAGCTGATGTAAGACAACTGACTTTTCAAATTCAATTTATTTAAATAGGTTTTAATAATTTAGCATGGATAAGTAGATTTGAATCGGTATTGCATTTACAAAATTTCCAAAGAATATTTTTATTTCTTAATGTACTTTATATCACACTGGTGCTTATTGAAAATTATGAATAATGAAAATTAGCACCAACGCTGTGTAGTAATCTAGATGAGAAAATAAATATTTTATATATTCACTCAGGGCCTAATCCTGCTCCCATTATCATCACGTGGTGCAGGATCAAGCCACTACTCAGAATATTTGGCCTGATCCAAAATCCATTGAAGTCAATAGGAGTCTGCAGTGGCTTCATTGTTTGCACAGGTCCATATCGCCAAATGTTGGTGCCATTGAATTGTCAGTAGCAAACTCTCAATCACTCCTGTGTGCTAGAGCCATGAAACAAGTAGTACAACAGTTAAGGCCCCAATCCTGCAAGGTCTTAAACTCATTTATTACAGTGGGACAATGAACCATGTGTAACATTAAGCAAATGCCTAAGTCTTTGCTGGATCAAGGGCTAAATTAGTATTTGCCGCCAGTATAGACAAAAGTGTTTTTAACACATTTTAATGCTTAAAACTTTACAACTTTGATTTCCAATGCTCTCTAATGGCATAAATGACTCTTTTAGTCCCACTTTGTATCACTTTTTATCACCCAATCACCTGCTGTGAAATATAATTAAAATGGCAGCTACAGATATGACTCCTGTTCACTGGAAGGAGATGGTTGAAACATTTACAGGTATTTCTTAACAGTTCTTTTAAAAATACCTTTTCTTGATGTCTGTCTACTTGTCTAGAAAATATTTATCCATGTGCGATGGCTCTTTCCCCAACCCCAGAGAGAAATTTCTCCTTAATAGCAAATCTGTAATAAAGTGAATCTTACAGGAAATGAACAAGCATACAGTAAGTCAGAGAAACAATTTATATATGATTTTAATAAAAGTGTTTCTCTTGTAAAATCTTGTGTGATCCAGCCCATATATAAACCAACACAGGAAATGCCAGCTGATAACTTGGCTCTTGCCTTTGAAAACAGGCTTTTCCCCTGAAGGTGAGTAAAGGGACATTGTCAAGTCAAAAATGATATCTTTCTAAAATAATATCCACGTCACTAAACAACATTTCACCAGTGTCTCTACTTCCGAGGTGCATGCCAAGTGGGGGAGGACATGAATGGAGAACAAGAGCTATGTGGGCAGCGAGAGAAAGTTACCTGAGTTGGATCTACATTGCTCTCCACAAATAGGCATGTAAAACTCTCTCCCACCTTTATTTCCTTCATCTACAGTAGGGTTTCCCAGCCTATGGGTCAGGACCCAAGTATGGGTCACCATTACATTTCAAAAGGGTCGCCAAGTGTCTCCCCAGGTGGCTCTGCCCTCCCTCCTCCTCCCCATTTTTGAATTGCCCTGGGTCACCAAGTCTGTCTGAATTGTCAAAATGGGTCCCCATCTGGAAAAGGTTGGAAACTGCTGATCTACAGTGACCCCTAATGCAACTAGTTCTAAAGCAGCAGATGTGTAGAGTTACAGGTTCAGTCAGTAATCCACTGATCCATGTTTCGCCTGCCTTCTGCATGGTGCTCCACTCAGCCATAAGAACATGTTAGTTCAGTTTCTCAAGACATGCCACCTACCATGGGTATCCTTTTCAAGCCTGAGGAAGGATATGGTTTTTGTTAGAATGTGAGTGGAGAGGAAGAGCCTGCAGGGCTGTGTGTGTGTGGCCAAAAAAAAAAAAAAAAAAAAAAAAGAGAGAGAGAGAGACGCCAAAAGGGGGAAAAAAACAAGACTGGAGGAGAGGAGAAAGAACTGACTGAAATGATAGCAGAGAAAGGGTCAGTGAACAGATTAAGGCTATACAATGGCAACAGTTTTAGGGATGATGGGAGGACTCATGGAGGGGGATCTCCTGAAGCATCACAACAGGCGTTTGAACAAAAAAATAGATGGGGACTCAGGGTTGGATTACTAACACAGAAAAATGTACACATCTGATACACTTCCTTCTCCCAGCTGCACCCCACCATGCACCACTGCTTCTGGCGACTGGATGCCAGTTCTGACTGGTGGAACCGGATCATCATGGAGCAGTGAGACGACCAGCACTGGCTACAGAATTTCTGCAGGTGGAAGGAGACCTTTCTGGAGCTGTGTGCCTAGCTCACCCCGCCCTCCTGTGATGGGACAAACACGTGATAGCAGCCGCCCCCCTGATCAAGTGGTTAGACATCACTGTGTGGAAGCTCGCCACACCTGACAGCTACCAATTCATCGGCAACCAGTTTGGTGTGGGGAATTTGACCATCAGGGCCCTCGTCATGCAGGTATGGTTTTCTCAGGCTAAAGTCCCAGTGGGGGAGTGAAGTGCTGGAATGCGGAACCCTTGGGAAATAGAGGTTGGGGTGGGAGTGGGGAAAGCACCCTTCCTGGGCAATTTTTCAGTCCCGCCCTCACACAGCCTTTCTGGGGGAGGGGCTATGTAGGGGGTTGCTCCTGGTGTGTGTGTGGGAGGGTATAGGGAGAAGGGTGGGCTCAGGGACCTCCCAAGGGCTCTAGCACCCCAGTGATTCTCTGTTTGTCTGCTTCTACAGCTGGTGCAGGCCATCAACACCATCCTGCTGCACACAGTCATCAACTTTGGCGATGTGGACCCCGTCATCACTGGCAATTTTTCAGTCCCGCCCTCACACAGCCTTTCTGGGGGAGGGGCTATGTAGGGGGTTGCTCCTGGTGTGTGTGTGGGAGGGTATAGGGAGAAGGGTGGGCTCAGGGACCTCCCAAGGGCTCTAGCACCCCAGTGATTCTCTGTTTGTCTGCTTCTACAGCTGGTGCAGGCCATCAACACCATCCTGCTGCACACAGTCATCAACTTTGGCGATGTGGACCCCGTCATCACTGGCTTTACCAACATGGGCTTCCCCAACTGTGGGAGGGCTATTGATGGCACCCACATCCCCATCCAGTCCCCCGACCACCAGGCATCTGACTATCAACCTCAAGGGGTACTTCTCAGTGGTCCTGCAGGCCCTCGTCGACCACCACGGGCAGTTCACCGACATGTATGACAGATGGTCAGGGAAGGCGCACAATGCCCGTGTGTTCCAAAACTTGAATGTGTTCCAGAAGAAAGCTGGCACTTTCTTCTCTGACCACACCATTAGGGTTGGGGACATGGGCATGACACTCTGTATTGTGGGGGATGCGGCCTACCCTCTGATACCCTGGCTCATAAAGTCCTAGACCAGCCACCTTGAAGTTTTCCTTGGAATGCTCAGTGCCAGGCTCAGCAGGGCCTGCATGGTTGTGGAGGGCGACTTCGGGCATCTCAAGGCGTGATTCACCTGGCTGGATGTTGGAGAGTGGAACATCCTGCAAGTGGTGGCTGTGTGTTGTGAGTTCCACAATATTTGTGAGAGGAAAGAGGAGACATTCCTCCCGGGGTAGGGGGCAGAGACTGGCTGGGTTGTTAGGGCTTTCGAGCAGCCGCGCAATGCTGCCATCCAGCAGGTCCATCGAGGGGGTGTGCGCATCTGGGAAACCCTGAGGGAGAGTCTCTTACAAGGACCCCAGTGACACTCTCCCCTGGGCTTCCTCACTAGGGGCCTGTGTCTTGCCCCTCTTTTCATTTCCTCCCTCACCCCTTCCTTCCCCGCAGAGACAATAAAACAGATTCTATTTTTTGGAAACAATAAACTGTGTGTGGCTTTCTTTGGGGTCAGAATAACTAAGGAGGGACAGGGGAAAGAATCTGGGAGGGGAAAGTGGGGATAGAGAGGGTGATGAGAACCTTGGAGGGGGGAGGAGGGAGGAGGAGAGGCTCATGGCTGGGAGTGGAATTGGCGCCTGGCTCAGTTGGTTCCACTGCCTCATGTGCAGGGACCTTGGTGACCACAGAGGATGGGGGAGGCTAGGGGGAGAAGTAGGAAGAGGAGCTGGAACAATCAGGCATAGGAGCTGGGGCAGGAGCTGGCATAGAAGTTGGGGCAGGACCAGGGGCTGGGACTGGGGCTGGTCAGGAGTGGCAGCAGGAGCAGGAGCTGGCTCTGTGCCAGCAAGGAGAGACTGGACAGCCGTGCACATAGTGCGGCCCTGCTGCAGCAACTCCCTCCAGGTCTCTCTCCACAACTGCATGTCTTCCTGGGCCCAGAGCATGGTCAACTGCTCCCACAGCAGTTCCTCCTGTGTTCTTGAGCACCTACAGGTCTCCCGGTGTTAGGCAGCTGCACAGGTCTCACGCTGGTCCAGCTGAGGAGAAAAGAGAGATGGTCAGTCATCCCTGGGGACACTGTCCCTGAAGCCTTGCCCTCATCTGTGAGCTGAGACCAACAGTTCTTGGGTCAGGTGAAGGTGATGTACTCGGAGCAGGCCTATCTGAAGTCTGGACAGTGGGCCCTTTCCTATAGAGTCCCAGATGTCCCCAGGGGAGCAGCCTCACCACCCCCATGCCCTGGGGACAAGCAGGCGTGGGAA